TACGCGCCAATCTTACAATCTGGTGGACAAATACGCCATACGATGAAGACAGCAGACAGACATTCCAGAAACAGCCCTTATACCTAACTACCGGGTGTTTTTAATGCTGCCTTCCTGGAATGACTCAGTTAAACACCGGCAACGGTCAACGGGCCGCAAAGGACTTGTCTGGTCCACCTGGAGCTCAACTTCTTCAAAGGCACATCCCGACCCCCTCAGTGTTGTCGCAAACAGACCAGTGCAATCCAGAGGCTCCTAACTCCACCCACATTCCAGAAAGAAGCTTTCTGAAGCGGAGATCCCTGTCTCCAACCAAACACTGAAAACTACAAGCTCGTGGTCTGGGCCCCAGAATCTGCATGTATTCTATCTTAACAGAACCCGCAATGATGCTACGTGCCTATAGATACACACAATATACAAACGATGACTCCTTATTCGCAGAAACTCGACTTAGACCGGCTCTGTGCGGCTCAAATACTCAGAACTGAATGAAGTATTTCCAATACACCGTGAAAATACATTCAATAGTTAAAATCATTACAAAGCACAAGAAAAAGATTAAATGATTCTTAGGTATCACAGCAAGAAGAGAAAAACTTATTCGAGTACACAGGACCTGGAAGCAAATTCAAAGGAAAAGCACAGGTGATGTCTCCACACTCCTGCTCAGGCAGGAGTATTCTCCGCAATTCACATTTAAGAGTGTTAATGTTCGACACACACACACACACCACACACACACGTGACTATTACCACACAATCAATCCCAGCAGTCAAATAACGCTTTCTGCTTTCTTATTTGGGGGGATCTCAACCTCAAGAGCCAGCTAACCACACACGGCAGATGCTGGTCCGTCTTGACCCAACAGTCACGGGGTCTCCTCATCTTCGTGACCAGCATCTGGACCACACGTGCGGATCTGACTTACAACTAAAATTCCTGCGGTGCGCGGGAGAGGTGCAATCTCGTCCCAAAGTAAAGGAGAAAGATTCAAAAGACTTAACTTTCCCCCAAATCCTGATTATCCTTCCAAACCAATCAACTTGAAGACACGTTTTATGAGCCAGGTATCATTTCATTCTTAAAAGCTCACTTCCATTTTTGATTGCCTGAAACATGCATGTGTTGGATAAATATTTTCTCAGAAGGCCAAGACGAGAGCACTGGGATCTTCCTGAATTTTAAATTAAGCGACTACAGTAGTTCTCAGGGGGGAAAAAACCCACCCCCCCGCTGAGAAAAAGAAATGATTAAGATAAACAAGAAGGCTGCTTTCATTGTTATTAGATTCCTTTCTCAAAGCACATGAACTCACTCTTCTGGTGGTTATTTGGCCACTAGATAAATTAAGATCCTTTTGATCTTTTCTCTCCTTCGGTGATATAATCAATATAATCAAAGGAAAAAAGGTTTGGTTTCAGGGTTTGAGCGCGGTGTGGTTTTTTCTTTTACTTTAAGAATGGAAAATAAAGATGTTTCATAGGGTAAACGTAACCACTTAACACCTGGCTATAGCGTTTTATCAACTCTAAACTGCTTTGACATGCTAATGTCATTCAGGCTTCACAATTCTTTGAAGCAGTGATTATCATTCCCATTGTACAGATGAGGGAGTTCAGAAGAGACAGTTACTTAAGACTTACAGCTCTTCCCTTCCCAACATAGAAGGGGAAGAGTGCAATCCACAACGTCTGGCTCTAAGTCTAGAGCTAGGATTGGAGCTAGAAGGCCTTCAACTACTGCACGTCCCACCTCCATGCGCCCAAAACCCCAGGAGAAAACTCAGGTCCAGAACAGCTGGTCACCTAAAGCAGAGGCTAGCAAACGAAGACCTGGAGGACAAATCCAGCCACTGCCTGCTTTTGTGGAATCCATGGGCTAAGACTGTTTTTCACATTTTTAAGTGATTTTTTTTAAAAGAGGAAGACTATTTCATCTCATGTAAAAATGACATGGAATTTGAATTTCACCGTCCATAAACAGTTCTACTGGAGCATGGCGCTCACTCCTCTAGGGCATGGCCGATGGCTGCTTCTGGGCAACAAAAGCAAAGCTCAGCAGTGGTAACAGACTGCCTGGCCTGCGAGGTCTCAAGTATTAATAACTATCTGGTCCCTTACGTAAAGTTCGTGGACCCCTGATGTAAAGGATGCGTGTCTTTTGGTGAAGACTAGAAAGTTCATAGCATGGGTAAACTTAAAAAACCTGTCTTCCCTGCCCCCAGCTGCTGGAGATGCAGGGGGTAAATCAATCCTGTCCTTCAGCGAACAGTAGTTCCTCCAATTTTGGGAGGGTGACGCTCCAGCCCATCTTTTCTAGGCTCTGTTCCCTTATTTTTTTATTCACAAGGCACAGTTACAATAAGCACTTAAACATTTACTATCACAACATACCAGGAACCATGCTAAGCGTTGGAGATCTCATTTCTTTTTAGGTGAGAAAACAAAGGCTTTGCAGTCAGGTAACTCGCCCAAGTTCACGGGGCTGAGGCAGACCCGTGCTCTTACCATGCCAAGTTACTTCAAAAAGCAAAACTTTGAACCTCCTCCTCTGCCAGTATATCCCTCTGGAATTGTGGAGCTGGAGGCCAAACATGAAACTTCTCCTTCGATTTAGGCAGAACTGGACGAAACCAGGCAACTCATGCCCCAGGACCTGGCTACTAACCTACCTTAGTGTTCCCGCCCCCCAGACAAGCTGCCAGTCAGTGCTTACTGACAACTACTATCATTTCTGCCTCACAAGTAATACCGCCTTCATTACAACAGTACAATTCCGTACCTTTAGAAGCAAAACCAGGCCTCCAGGAGGCATGTTAGATCAGGTAGAACACAATAATAACCACCACTTTCTAAGTGTTCTCTCTGGGAACCACAGGTATGCTTTACACGTTTTTTTCATTTAAACTTCACAGCTCTATGAGGTTAGCTTTGATCCCAATTTTACAGGTGAGGACACTGAGCTTTCAACGTTAATTTGCTCAAGGTGACAGGGTTGCATTTCAATACCTAGGTTTTCTGACTCCAAATCCAGGCTCTCAATCGCTATGCAGAACTTTCAAATATCAACTTTCAATCCTCATATATAGTCACAGTGTTGCCTACAAGTAAAGGATAAGTGAGAAAATTCACCTTGAAATATACTGACCACACTATTTACTGTCACCTCAACTCTACTAACACTTTTTTCCAAAACTAAAACTCAGAATCAAGAGTTCAATTGTGCACGTGTGTCATTTTTCTGCAATGTACTTAGTTCTTCCAACAGATGCTCTTTGAGGGCATGCACCATTCCCGTCCCTCATCCCTCCCTAGCTCCCGACAGAACCTCCATAGGGTAGGCATTCAATAACACACTGAATGAACACAAACTTTGTACAAAATGTGACTTATAAATGGATGCTGCCGGGAGAAGGGAAAACCTGAAGATATACAGTAAGCAAAGAAAGAACTAAATTTAGTTCATAATGCACTGGTGGTAAAAGTGTTGTCTTCAGAATTTTTTACACATGAGATACAACCTATGTATAAGGTGCTACCCTCACCCACACACTAATGGAACAAGTTGACTTATTATGTATTTATAATCACAAAAATGAATGACGAGTGAATACTCAAGCCTCAACTCTCAAAAAGTAGTCTAATGTAGAAACCAAAATCCCTCATGCTCTCACACTATGTACTTTCCCAACTGCATGCCTTAGCCTCTACTTCTGGGCCTTTCCCAAACACAACACTTTCCTTCCTAGACGGGAAGCTTCTTGAGAACAGGGAGAGTTTTTTTTTTTCCCTTTAGTACCCAAATGACCCAAGATAGTATCTTGAATACAGTAGGGCACAGCTAATGTGTGAAATGGTTGAACAGAATGGAACATTCTCAGGGCCAGCTAAGGTACACTGACCACGTACAATGTAAGGGGAGGCCAACAACCTTACCACTGATTCTCCAGAAGGCGGCCTCCTCCTGAGAACTTTTGCGAACACTTGCTTTTAAAACAACAAAAACTTGCTTTATAAAAAAGCAACAAGAAGTTGCTAGAAGGCTATCACTGTTGGCAACAGAGCTCCATTCTGTGCCAACGGCGATAACATATCCACAAGAGAAGACCCCTCAGAAGGCTCACCTGGTCCTTATTAAGGGTTCACAGGGGCCAAGGGGCTCTACTCTTTACAGACGCTTCCTTAAGACCTAAACACCCAGGTCCCTAAACGCATCCAAAAGGTAAATCAAGAGTATGCAGAAGTTTTAGTCTCTTACGAAGACCTATTTACAAATACGTATACGCAACAGAAGAACCATTTGTCCAAAAGAACAGAGAGCCTTCCAAGCTTCTGTACTCCCAGGAAGTCGACTTCGCAACACGTCAAGAAGTTCCATCGAGGCGCACAAAATGTGCCTCAAAACCCAAACTGATATTCGCACCACTTGAAGTCGAAGCTGGCGGACCGATCGCCCACAACTCAGAGTTCCGAGGGTGCCCTTTCTCACTCGCACCGCTGCGGCGCAAATGAATGACGGTGTATCAGCGTTAAATTTAAATTTCCTGGCTCCGGCCACAATGCTAACCTAATTAAAGCATGTGGTCAACGCTTAGCCTTCTCGGTGCGATGTTGTGCATCGCTCAGACTAGCAGCAGAGTCGGGAGACAGTTGCACCCTTCCTCTTGCCCCCCCAAAACCGGAGGCAAACCCTCCCCAGAGCGCTCCGCCGAACGGCCAGGAAAGCGCCCCCGCGCCGCCCACGGACCCCGCCCGGCGGCGCCGCGGGCTCCGCACCCACCGCCTCGCCGCGGGCACTTTGGCTCCTTCCGAGCAAGTCGCTCGCGTCAGCGCTCCTGCCCCGCGGCCGGGACCCCCGGCCCCGCAACTCGGGCGCCGCCGCCGGGCCGGGGCGCACGCGCTTCCGTCCAGTAAACTGCGGCCGGGGGGGAGGGGGCGGCGGGCCGGCCGTCGGGCGGGGGCCGGGCGGGGCGGCGGGCCGGGGGGAGGGGAGGTACCTCGTACAGCTCCTCGGAGGCCATGGTGGGCGGTGGAGCGGGGGGCGCGGGGCAGGGCCGGCGAGACGCCGCGCAGCCGGCGGCCGACACTTTGTTTCAGTTGGGTCCCTGCGTGGCCTGCGCTTCCTGCTCCGCTCGGCTCCGGCGCCGGTCGGGCGCGGACCGGCGCTCACTCCTGCCGGTGCGGGCCGCCGGCCGGGTTGTGCGCAGGAGCAGCTGCGCAACGCGCCCTCCGCGCCGCGCTCACTCCCCGGCGGGCCGGCTCGGGCTCAGGCTCATCGCGCCGCCGCGGGGCCGGGCCGGGCTGGGGCGGGCGCGGCGGCGGTGCACGGCGGCGCGCTGGCTCCGCGGCTCCCCCTCTCCGGTGTAGTGCAAAAAGCTTCCTACTTGCGACCGAAAAACCTGCCCCGGCTACTGAGCATGCCCAGTGCGGCCGCCCGGCCCGGCCGAGCCGCGCTCCCGCGCTCCGGGTTTTCGTGCCGCCCGCGCGGGGGGGCGGGGCGGCCGGCGGGCGGGACAGCCGAGGGGAGCGGTGGGCCGCGCTCCGGGCGCGGCGGGCGGCCGCGGGGAGCCGGCCGGCAGGAAGGGGAGGAGCCTGGGCTGTGGGCGGGGCCGCGGGAGGCGGGGCCGGGGCTGTGGGCGGGGCCCGGCTCGCCCCAGTGCCCTCCGGAGGTACGGCCGCGCCGCGCCGACGCCCGCGCGCCCGCCTCGACGTGGGGGCCGGGCCCGGGGCGGGAGGGCGGAGGACGGCGACGCGCACAGGGGCAGCCACCGGCGGGCCCGACGTTGGGCAGTGGGCTGCGGGGGGCGCGCCGGCCCGCGTCCGCAGCCCGCCGCCCCGACGGCAGCGATGCGCAGCCTCCCTGCGGAGCGCGCGGAGCCCCCGCCCGCCCGCCGCGTCGCCTGTCCGGACCCGGCCAGCCAGCGAAGGGCCGGCGGCGTGGCCAGGTGGAGCCCCCGCCGCACCACGTGCCCGCCTCCCCCGCGGCCGCCGCCAAGACCCGGAGCCGGAGCGCGCGCCCGCGTGGGGCCCGGCGCGCTCGGCACGCGAGCTCGGCGGCAGGCCGGGGGTGGGAGCCGGGGCGGGAGCCCGGCGCAGTCGAGGGCGGCGCGAGGGCGCGGCCGCCTCCGCTCGGCCCGCAGCTTCCCCCGCGCTGGGCCTCCCTGTTCCTCTCGGAGCGTCCGCCTCCTCCGAAGAGCAGCTGGGAGGAGGGGCCGGAATCCGGGCTCCAGGGAGGTCTGGGTTCCAATGCAACGAAGCTGTCAGTGGTGGTTCTCCTTGGGGAGGAACGGCGTGGACAAGCAGGCGACCGGCCCTCCCGGGGCCACAGCGATGGTCAGGCCCTTCCTCCGCTTGGCAGGGCAGAGGGGCAATATGGGGCCGGCCCGCATGGCTAGCTCGCGGGGCACACCTGCCAGGACACTGGACGTTTACCCATCCGTGCGGAATGAGGAAGGGGCTGCCTGGCCCGACCGCCCCAAACAGCCGGCAACTCCGAACCTTCCTGCGCACAGAGCGGACCTTCTCTGCGGGGCACTGCAGAGACCCTGTCTCACGTTGTCCCCCACCCCTAGGCCTGGAAGCCCCCGCCAAACCCTCATGTCTCCCGGAGCATCCTCCGCTGCCACCCCGTTCCTGGTGCTCCCTCTGGCTCCAATTCGAAACCGAGCCCCTAGAAACCAGGCTCCTCCCACCAGTTTTCTTCCGAAAACCCAATTCGATGGTGCCCCGTACGCACAGTTTAGTAACCACGAGGCTTTTCACCCACCCCGCTGAGCTTCCTGCCCTCTCCAGGCCCACGAACAAGCGCAACGCTTGCCCTTAAGTCACTTCAAGTCGAATCACCATTGTCTTCACGCCGGCGCTTCTGCCTGCGATTCCCTCTACCTGGCATGCCCCCTTTCTACTCTAAACTCCTGCTCCGACGTCACCTCCAAAGCAAAGCCTCCGGACTTCCAGGGCAAAATTAGTCACTCCCTCCCCAGCCACTGAGGCGCGCTCCACTGCGGAGCTTTCCTCGGTATACTCAGTTCTCTACACTCTTCCCTCCCATTTCTACGCGATGACCTTCCCCAGATCTCGTCTTCCAATTCGACTCTCCAGCCCGCCACACTATTCTCTACCTACAAAATAAGGTTTTATTCAGTGAGTTGGAATTCCGGTGTCCACAGCAAAGCCCCTGACGCATGATACACCTCCGATTCCCATTACCAGATGCTTCGACAAGAGAATTATAAAATAAAGTCCTCACCTCCTCAACCCATCCAGGCGCCCTCTCTGATGGCCCAGCCAGTTCTCTCTGCCCTCCTCCAAACATTAGCGCTTCTTAACACATTATTTGCTGCATCTGCTTCTCGTCTCTCTGGCAGACAAATTCATCAGCCTAAGTTGTAAGCTCCTTGAAGGCAAGGACTAGAAGTTTGTATAACCTACAAGTCTCAAAGCAATGACTGCTCAGTACTGCAAGTGCTCACAGGCTTGCAAGAGGTGGTTCAAAGTCACACAAGCACAATACAACATGAGTAAGAAAAAAGGGATCCTCAGTATAAAACGAACAGACACATCTCACCTAGAAACCTATATACAATCCTAGACGGATGTAAATATAAAGTCCCCACTGTTACCAAGGGGAGGGGAGGAAAACAGGAGGATGTAAAGACAACCACAGCTCTACTCAGATACTGAGCTAGTACATTGGCTATATATACAATCCTAACCTAAGGAGACTTCCCTCATTGTGGAAAAAAAGGGAGGGGGTATTACAGCATAAAAAAAGGTAACTCCAAAAAGTCAATGTACACGGACCTTTAATCCTGATGACCTGGGTTATCCATGCTGCTGTGATTAGCTGTCACCATCAGGAGGAACGGCGGGGTAGAAGTCAGCTGCGTAACAAAGCAGGGGCAAGCCATTCTCCCAAGCACAGGTCTACCTTCTCCTCCAGTGATTAGTCGGTTTCCATCTTAATTAAGAACAAGGCAGAGGAGACCTGTACTAAGGTACTCAACTAGTGACTGAGAACTTGAGGTCAGCTGTCCGCTGTGTTCCTCTCATCCCCCCTCTCCACCTAAAACACCCACTGGTTTATTTAATGCTGTTTTGCTTATGTATATATTTCACCTCGTTAGTTCGATTTGTCTTACTTTTAAGCAAATTCCACTCTCTTCCCTCACTTTTTAAATATAAACAACGTTTTATCAGTGCTCAGAAGCAAATTATGTCCAAGATTGTTTAATGGCTTTGAATTTATACCACTTTTTATGAAATAGTGAAGTTTTGCAGTAACCATGACCACGTGTGTGGGTGCTGTGAAAGTACTTTGAGAATAAAAGTGCAGTCACATCCCCTAAACACATCAAGGAAGACATCTTTCAGCACAACAGTTTGTACTAGTAAAATATACAAATCTTAAAGATTATAGAAATGGTTGAGAAGCAAGATGATGGACACATGCGATTAAAATACACATATACTCGTTCTAAGCTTCAGTTCTTACCTGATCTGAGTTAGTGGCGGAGACCAACGTGCACCAGTTTACTCCTTTTCCAAATGTATTTGAACGATTGGTATTCGACAATCGGTACCACTCAAGATAAGACTCTTCAGATCAGGAGTTAGAGCCATTCCACGTCTCGGCAGAACAATGACTAATATCTTAAATTAAAGGTTCTTTCCTTTCCCCACTCAACAGCCCAACCAATCACTTCTTCAATGTTCCCAAGAATCTGCATTTCATCTACATTTGAATCCCAAGGCTCCTGAAAGGAGATGGGGGATGGGACTGGAAAGACAAAAGAAACGGAAAATCTAGCAACTCCTGCTCGCAGAGTCAAAGGCATTTTAAGGTTGGGTGACTGTGGAAAAGGGCCGATAACAATCCCCTCCAGCAGTTCTGCGCCCCAAAGCGTAATCTGTCTTGGCTACCTCCGCCAAAACCTAAAATTTAACTGCAGTTTTTATCAAGAAGTAACCCGTTTGCTTCTTTGTGCACACTTGAGGCCAAAGAAAAGTTAAATACCATTCTTGTTATAGAGTGGTCACTTCATAAATCTTGGGGAAATTGCTATCTTAATCACTTACTCAAAAGAAAGTAAGAAAACTTCAGGCGTGACAAAGCAAAAGAGAGAAGCACAGAAAGCCAGTCGTAAGGTGAATTCGGGTGCTAGGCCCTTCTCCAAATTAGGAGCCAAACAGTTCTTCCTTCCCTGAAAGCTTGAATTGGATACCAATACCCCCTTCTTTTCGAGACAACCAACAACCTCTGATTCATTTCAGCTGCTGCTTCCTTCCCTGGCCAAATCGTCAATTTCCCCATTTCAACCGGCAACCTCTCCCTGCCTGCATCCATCTTGGTCCCAGGTATTATTCTCTCTTTTGTGTGGAAGCAAGTACCTAATCCAGCTGCCACACTGCTGTTTCCTGGCCAAACACTATGACGATTTAATCTCTTTGCCCTAGTGATAGCAGTTCTGAGACTTCTTCACATTCGAGTTCACCACTTTCCTCTTAGGCTGAGTGAGGTTCCACCACTGGCAAAACCTCATCAATTTACAATTAAGGATAATTTTCTTTCTCAACTAGATTTAGCGTTTAACTGCAACTCTTTTTTCTCTTTAGCTAACAGTGATTCTACCCAAAGAATCCTTGTAATATGTCTCTGTTGTACCTTCCTTTGACAGAAACAATCAAGACTAATGAAATTTTTCATTTGTAACTTTATACATTGTTCCACCTTCTGGAAGGAGAAAAATAACCAAAATTCATAAAGAGTAAATAGCCTTGAGACACTGCCATGACAGTCGGTTGACTTCATACCGGGGCAGTAACTACTTCATTGTGGATTCCTGAGAAAAACATCAGATGTAAATGTCCCTTGAATTACTGTGATGGGTCATTATGTGTGTCACTCGAGTGAGACCATCCCAGTAACCTCATTACCTTCTGGACTTTTCTAGAGAGAAAGAGATTATCAATCAGAGCAAGTGGGCAGAAGATGAGAGCAGACATTCTGGCTGGTAGCACCAGGTGCACAGAAATCAATGGAACCCAGAATATGCCCAGGACCACAGCAGGTGGAGGTTGAAGCCTAAAGCAAAGAATAAATGAATCTGAAAATAAAGCTTGAACCACACCAGCATATGGAAACAGGTACTGGGGCTTGATTGTTTTCAATCACTAGTATTGCTCAGTGCAGAGGTTCTCAAGTTGTGGCCCCAAGACCAGTAGCAACAGCTTCACCTTGAAACTTATTAGGAGCACAAATTCTCTACCCCCACCCACCTACTAGCGCCCAACAGTCTGTTTAACAAGTTCACCAGGTGATTCTGATGCACACTGAAGTTTGAGAAGCACAGGTTTTGAACAGTTTTGTTTCTTTGTGGTGGTGGTTTATTTTTTTAATTGAGTTACAGATTTCAAACCAGTAGTGGATCTTTACATTATTTTAGTAGCTCTTGATTAGCATTTTTTAAGTGAGACAGGGTGGAATGGATAGAATGGAATG